TATTCATATTGAGATAGATATTATATTTGATAGATTAAGATATCATTATATAGAGAGATCAAGAAATCCCGCAAATTATTATCTATAATCTATAATTATAAAGATTGACGGATTCAACAATAAATAAATTATCAAATTGATCGATTGGAATATAAATAAATCGTCAAATTGAAGAAAAAGAAATATCATCAAATAGATAAATTGGGAAATCGTCGTAGAATTAGATTGATAATATTTTCTCTAAAAGATATATTTATTTATAAGATTAGAAGATTGATCATTCGATAGAGATTTTTTCATATCGTTTAATAGATATATTGAAAAATCAAATAATAGATGAATAGATAGAATTGAAAGAATATTGGAATGATAGATTTTCAGATCCGATAGGAATTAGATGAATAAATCGACGAATTGATAAAATATTGATAATTTCATAGGTCTTATAGATTGATAGATCAATAGATTCTCAGATTGATAGATCAGAATTATAGATCGTCCAAATATAGAAAAAGATTCATTAGAAACGGAATAGAAGAGAGACCTAATTTCTTCGAAATTCTAGATCGAATTCAAAAATTATAGCAGAAGAAAGAATATGATCAATATCAATGATCTAATCGTCATTCATATAATCAAGGAGAAATAAACGAAATTGAGAGAGATCATGATCAAAAATTTTTGAGAGAATTTTCATCTCTTCCGCCCCGAATGAAATATCTTGATGAATTTAGATCTTCTCGTCTTTACCAAAGATTGAAATATCGTAAATAACGACGTCATCTCAATAAGAAATAGATAAATTATGAATTCGATATATTGACATATATTTAGATAAATAGAAAGAGATATTCATAAATTCGAGAGATCGAGATCATCAGATAGATTGATCGATTCATCTCTATCTTCGTCGATAGATTGATTATTTTGAAAAAATTACAGAAATTAAATCGAGATAGATCGATGGAATGCCAAGTCAATTGATGAATAGATCTATAGATCATAAAATTGACCAATAGATAGATAATAGATGATTAAATTCCAAATATGATCGATTAATGGAATATATTCGATAAAAGATAGATAATCAAATTAAAAAAATGATTGATAGATTCATAGATGATCGATCATGAGATTAGAAGATCGATAGATCATCAAAATGATGATTCGAAAAATAGAGAGGTTAATAGATTGATATTTTGATTGATCTATATTCGCATAAAGAAATAATCGTATCTGAATATAAAATATATATATATAGATAAAGATAATAGATAATTATTCAAATATATAGAAAAGAAGAAATATATATGATGAATATATAAATAAAAGATATATAAAAGAATATATTCATAGATATCAATTCATCGGATCCAATAGAATTATATAATAGATTATCTAGATAAAGATCTATAAATATATAAGAATAAGAAAGAGAATCAATTCCAATTCTGATGAAATATTCGAAAAATATAGAAAGAATATATATAAAAATATAGATAGATATAGATATCAAGAAATTATGAAGAAGAAAATTATTAAAAGAATAGAGAATTCTATATATATATATATTTCTATAATATATCTAAATAGAATGATATTAAGAGTATAGCGTCCATCAAAATAAAGAAGAATAAGAAAACGAGATGAATATCGGAGAATTGATTCTCTTCAAAATCTTAGGACAATATCCCTTGAGATAGAAGAATTAGATATGCGATTCTCTGAAAATCCTTGAGAAGAAATCTTTATGATTTCTTATTATGAAAATTGATTCTCTAAAAAATATATAACTAAGAGAAGATATCTTCTCATTGATTAGATTTCTCTCAAGATCATGATATTGAATATAATCTTGAATTGAATATATCAATAATGAATCATTAAAATTCTATCGATTTAATCGCTCAATTTTTGAATGACGAAATCGACGAACATTTTCTTGACCGATTATTAGGAGATTCGTCCAATGCCGCCATTTTGAATGAAGAAGCCGATTTCGAACGGAATAAATCGAGATTGATTCAATAAATGAATATAATATCATTTTGAGATAAATTCATGAAATTATAATCCGAACGAAATCAAATTCTGCATTCTTAAAATTTTTGTGCGACAAAGAAAAAATGAAAAGATCAATCCAGAAGATATCAAAAGGGAATCGATATGATCGGATCAATATTTAGGATCAAAGATTTAAGATTTCTCGTGACCACGTCGGCTCCCAAAACCATTTATATCATATATTTCATAGAAATATGAGATTTAACTTATATATATATATGTTCAAATAATATGAGAAATGAAATATATCAATAATCATCAAAAATCATAAATATTCTCGAATATTAATTATTATCCTAGATTTTTATCATTAATCATTTTCATCTATTTTCGTCTCCTAAGATCTCCAATAAGAAATTCTCAAATTCAATGAAACCATTCGATACTTATTGATACTACATATATATATATACTAGAATCGACCCGCTACTTACACCACCGGAGCATCGTCGTTGGGGTGCGCGCAGAACGATAAACTAGTTGATAGAAAAGAAAATATTACGTAGAATTCCAAATCCTATTTCCTCTCGATTTGATATCCTGAATCTTGAATGCCCAACAATAATTGAAGGAACTACGTATTTGGGGATATTGCCATATCTATCAGATTAATCTTCCAAGAAATAGAGGATTATCTCGAGATATTCATGGCGGAATGGATTTATAGATTGAAATCCAAGAATTTGGAGAGATATTTAGAATCTGATGATTTTTTCCTAGATAATCTGATGCGGTCCGCTCTATCCCTCAATCTACGCGCATTCATATATATAATCCTCCGCGGACGCATGAAATTCTGATTTCATTTCGAAATCCGAAGCATGATGCAGACCTGCTTCCCTGGTTTGAAGCTCTATTCCCTTGATATTTCATGAATTATCATATAATAAATATTTAAAAGAGAATATCATCAAATCACTCTATAAGAATCTAATATGGCAATCGACATGATCTTCTGAAATTCGTCAGATTCTCATAAATCTGAAGCGGCTTGCCCAAGAGAGGCCAGATCATCATTAATCCCAATCCCAATCCCAATGATTTGCATAAATTCCTCGCATCCAAGCGGGGTTCCCTCCCTCATCTTGCCCAATATCTGCGTAGGGTTTTTCCCGATTCGTCCTCTTGTCAAACATCTGCCAGAATTGCCGCTGCAACAAAACGAAGCCTTCTATGATATCAATTTCATCGAAATCTTGAAGGATGCCGCCTTTATTGAGAAATAATATAGATTTTGAAAGATTTCCCTTTCTATTTCGAATCTTGTTTTATATTTCCCGTCGAGCCATTGCGCAAATAATCAAAGAGAAAAAAGATTCGAAATCTCGAGCGATTTTTCATTACGCGAACCAAAATCTCCGGCCCGAATTTTCTATTTCATTTATCTCTCTTGCGCTAATTATTCCGTGGCAATAGATGCGACCAATCTATAAATTCT